AATCATTGGATATTTTCAACTCTTTTAATTTAACTGCCTAATCCTCTTACTAAATTCATGAAAAATTATAATAAATATTATTTTTCCCCCACAGAAATAAGGAAACTAATAATCTAGTTATCAAAACAATCCATAGCATAAAGAAAAGAAAATTGGTTATAAGGAGAACTCTACTGTACTTCTGGTGTACTGTGCTGTTCTTAACTGCTGCCCCAGTCCCTGGGAACTATAGCTGTGTAGCATATTCTTAGAAATGAGTTTGTTTATTTTTTGGCTAAGAATTGTTTATATGAAACATCTTAAACACAATAGGCAGCTAAAGTGAAGAAAGTCTGTTCAAATCTACCATATTGGTTCTTGACTGTAGCAACACTGATTTATGTTATCTTGTGATCTAACCAAGAGTAAACACCTGTCTTTTGTCCCTCGCTTCACCAAATGTATTTCCTGTTTCCTATAACAAGCTGCTTTTTTTCCCAATAAATAATTTGTAAATGTTACCTCATTTTTTTTCACAGCTTATGATAGAAGTAGAATGTAACAAGGTAAGAGCAATTTTTCTTCAATTTCCCAATTTTCAGTTACCTCAATTTTAGAATTCCTGTCCTACTGGTCCAGTTGTTTCATGGTTGTAGCATAAAGATTGTATCATACCATTCAAATTACTTTCCTAGTGAGATCTCATTTATGCTTACATTTTTGTATGCAGTTTTGAAGGTATTTTTATTTTTAATTAGTTAACATCAGTTCTCAGATCAGATTGTTACCATGTGTAAGGTATTGTAAGCAATGAAACACTTGACTTTTTCACTCAGACCATGAATGTGAATTCAGTTGATTTCCTGTTAAAAATAATTTGGTATTTATACACCAGTCAATAAACAGTAACTGGAACCTGTACTTTCTTGCAGCGTGGAGGGACTTACACAACACAAGGCCGATGCATCATGGTAAATATTTTTTCTCCAAAGACATTGGCATACTGCTAATTGCCCAAGATCTCAAGACCTAGTCAAAAGCTGCTTCTAGTCACATCTTTATCCCTCTTGTCACTCAATTTATTTTTCTTTTTGGCAATTTACTTTGGTTGATTAAAATCCTGAAGTTTCAAAATGGTTGTCAGCCTTGTTACCATTTCCTCCTGCAGGTTCTCTCTAGCTAATCTGGAGTAACTTTCTCATAGAAGTTTCCTTTTTTCTGTCTTCGCTTTTTAGTCTTATAATCTGGAGTAACTTTCTCATAGAAGTTTTTTTTCTGTCTTCACTTTTTAGTCTTAGTGCTTGCTTGCTTTTCAAGATCACTTATTTCAACAGCTCTGAAACCTTACCTTTTGCAAATCATGATCTAGATATAAAATTTAACTGTTTATTTTTTTTTCTGAAAACTATCACTTTCTGCTCAGTGAAGAAGCCTCTTTTTCTTCTTTCCTTCCTCCCAGCAAAGATGCCCTACGTTTCATAGTGTTTAGTGATTACATAGTTATATCAGTAAAAAATTCTCATCTACTTTTTAATGATCTGGACAGTGTAGGTCTCCTCCTCAGTGATGGAGGAGGAGTTATACATCAAGTGTATGAGGCCAGATAAAAATAGGTGCAAGCAGCAGAATTATGTTAATTTATACCAGCTGTTTTGATATAGTTTTTATTATTTGGCTTTAAAGATCTCTGAAACAATTTTAATAGTATCAGTTGGTGGAATGAAGTCACAGAAAACTATTCCATGTGTTCTACCTTTTCCCACCAAGTAGATCTTTCTTTCCTGAAAATCATTTCTATAAAAATCAATTTTCTGCAAAATAATAAATAGCATTTTGGTTTCTTTACAGGTTGGACCTTCCGGTTCCTCTCAGAACAGCTATTCAGGCAGTCAGGTAAGAGTCCTAACTTCCAGCATTATACGTTTTCCTTTAGTAACCTTGAACAACTAAAATTCTGTAACTACAGAGTCCTGAGGTGATTTAATACTGTACTGAAATATCATCTCTGCTAGTTAACGCAGAATGCCAAAGTTATTCATCCAGTAAACTGTATGTTCGGTACCTGGACTAGGTTCAACTACCTATACTCTGTTGAACTCAATAGCTTGCTGTCAGTATTCTTACCTACAAGATGCTTCACCACCTCTGATTTCACACATTAAGCATTTTTATCAAGCATTAACTTGACCCTTTTGAAGAAAAAAAGATTCCTTCCATCTTCCTAGAGGATTCCTACCTGTGTGTGCACATGTACATGCAAACACAGTCACAAGCCATTTGTTCTATAGTTTGAGAGACATCTGGCATAGTGAAAATGAAACTGTGCTTATTATTAATTTATGTGTTAGGCATTTTTCTTATTTCTTTTTTTTTTATAATCAAAACAAAAGGACTAATTATACTTGTGTTTCACTGTCTTCTCCACAAAAATTTGCAAAATTTCTCCAAATTTCACCAGATATTCATGCATGTATTTAAGCTCCAGTATAATGTCTGTATCACTTTTAATACCGGATTATATTTGCAGTTGAAAATTTGGGGATTTCACTGTCTAGTTAGCCTTTTAAAACTTCTGGGGTATGTATGTCCGGATTCTCACTGATGACTTTCACTTCTTAATCACAGAAATGTATACCTGTTTTTTAGTTAATTATCTCCACTACCATAATGTGCCTATTTGCACTTGAACTGTCAGATGCTTTCTGGTATGTCTCCAGTTTCTCGAACAGAGCTTCTCAAGGATAAATTTCTTACTACTTACTAGTGATTATATTTATTAGTGAATTATCTGGTAATATTCCATTTGTTCAATCTTCACTACTTGTAAGTAGAATTACCAGACTCTGAGAAATACCAGTTATTGTGATGTATATACTAAATACTGATTTTCTTCAGTAACTATTTTCTAAGAGTTGTTTCTCATCTTGTCATGTAACTACCTGAAGTTATTATTTTTTTCTAAAATATAGACCATTTAGTAAGACAACTTGTGGATTTTGAAAGGTTACATGACCAATGGCAGAGTTATATGAAATCCAGATGATGACTAATGTCTCATACTCAATTAGAATTGTTTCAGCCAGTTGCTAGTGAACTGGTAACCTCTGTACTTGCTTATCCCATATTGGCACATACACGTTGTCAGCTGCACAGCTTTTCATGCCATAAACAGCAGGGCTTTTTTTCTTTCTACACAATAAGCAAGAGTGGATGTGGCCCTGTAAGCACTTTTCTTACGTTTACTTTTTTGTACCCAAATGTTTAATGTTTATAGTAACTCCTAGCCTTCAATTGCATTATTTATCACATGGGAGTTTCTGTTGCAAATAGAAAACAATGAAGAGAGAGCTAGAAGATGAATATTACAGTTTATTCAATGATATGAAGTAGTGGGCAAACAGAGATGTTAAAAAGTTAAATAGAAACATGTAGATTATAGAATTATGAAAAAGGGACTGGAAGGGGATATCTGTTGCACTTACATGACACTCATTATACAGGTTGTCTATTCTCCCCTTCTACCCAAGACAAGACCGGTGCGAATTGGTCTGCATGTTCTAAGTTGTTCCTCCTCTCAGAAGTAATTACACAGATATCTACAATAACTAAGGCTATTCCAGTTTTTCATTCTTTCATGCAGCAGGGATACTTGTGAAGTTATGAATCCTAGACAGGTCAAGCCAGTCATCCAGAAATAGGTGAAAGATGCAAAAGTACTCTAATGTGGTGCTGAATGCATCAAAAACTTGGCTGAAGCATTTTTATCAAGATGGTGACTAATTGTATGGACTAAAATATTTGCAGATTTATGTCAAATATAGATTCTTATTTTGGTTTCCTTTCAGCATGTACAAGATAAGATTTTTATTTTTTAATGCAAAGTTACTGTGTTCAAACATTTACTCAGTATAAAAAATGAGAAAAAACTTGAAAGATAATTGAAACAGTCAAGTTTACCCTCTCTGTCAATGACAGCAGTTTTTGCTTGTTTTTCATAGTATAGCAAGTAAACAAAAATAAGCTAGTCATGTAGTTCTATTGCTGAACACTATCAGTTGCCAATTCAAACTAGAAGAATGGGTATGACTCAGCACCAACAAGGACAATTTTTCCAAAAATGTAAAACATTGATGTCATCAGTACTTGTAAAATGTAAAATTCATCACAATGTGTATTGGGTTTTTGCAAAGAACAACAAAATTACAGTTTTGGGGGAGACTATTGATTGTATTAATAACAGCAACTGAGATTTACTTTAAAAAAGGAACTATTGCTATTTATGCTGGACCTTGATATTTTATATTTGACTGATTGTAAATCAGGAAGGTGTTAATTTTTGTTTCTTTCCAGTTTCCCCTTCCTAATTTTTACATATATGTGTATGTACATATTACATACATAATATGTTTGAATTACAAGCATTATATGAAATATTTATAGTGTATTTCTGTTAAAATTCTGTTAAAATACTGTTTTGACAGTGTCTGTTCTAAAATGTTTCCTGAGTACCACCAGATAATAACTAATATACAAAAGGCTAATGTGCCTGGCTCTTATGTTCACACATGGGTGTTCACACATTCATAGCGGAGAGTACAATACTCTCCTTATCATCTATTCTTTACATACTCTACATAAGGATGGGTCAGAATTGAGGGTGTCTGAAGTGTGCCTTTTCTTCTAAAGCAATTATAGAAGATAAATAACTGGTTTCATTTTTTTCTTAGGGAGGTGCTGCTGATGCATATAGTCAACACGCCTGTAGAGATGTAAGCTGGTTACATATGTATTTACCAATTGTCTACTACTATGCTTCTTAACGCATCTGCTTATTGCAAATTGCATTTGATTGTCTTCCGCAGAGCTGTATCATTCTTCCTAAATATATTATGGAAAATGGTGATAGCCTGAGGTATTATCCTGAGATTAAAAACCAAAATTAAAAGGTGTTACACTGTCACTTCCTCGAAGTGTAATCATTTATGTTACAGGGGCTGCTCAGCACCTGTTACTAACGCTTAATTTGTTAGCCTACTAAAATGTCAGAATTCTTACTGCGTAATGCTTTTTATCTGTTAGAGTAACTGTCTTTGGATATTGCATATTGTGCAATATTGTTTGTGGTTTTTTTACAATCTTTGTGTATTAATCCAATAATTCTTTAATTAGTAGAGAAATTTCTATTGTCAATCTCATTTATTTCATTTGCACCTGAAAACAGATTTATTTTAAAATCTAACATATTTTCCATTTTTAAAATCATAGAAGCAAGTAAAAAAAAATCTATCAGAAAGACAACATGCTCTCTAATGCCTGTTAGGAACTGGCCCTAGCCAAGAAACTGCTTAATCATATGCTTAACTTTAAATACATCATTAGTTATATTAATTCCTAAATATTAAATATATTTTATCTTTGTTTAATATGTAAGTGTAAACTGTATTTATGATAGAGCAACATTAATCTTATGACTACAGTAGAATGTTGGAAAATTTTTACTTCAGTTATCTTCAAGCAAGTTCAGTATCCTTTACTATTGCCCTAGAGTTATTTAAGTATAGATTAAATCAGTTTGGTTTGAAGTGTACATCCTCTAAGGAAAAAAGTGATGACTCCTAGATATAATTAACAAATTATTATATACATAAATACCTGATTTATGTTTTTATTTCAGAGTGCATCCTCATTGAGCGGTGGTCTTACCTATGGCCAGGTAACTATATGCTTTCCAACATGTTTACAGTTTCCTAAGCTATTCAGAAACTAAGCAGTTATGCCCAACTTTTACCAAACAATAATAAAATTCATGGAAGGGGATAAAGGAGGACTGTCTTCAAATGGTTAAGTAATAATCATATCAGGAAATAATTTCAACAGATGAGTTACGTGTTCAGTGTATGTTGTAATATCAACTTTGTTAGAGGTTATTTACTTCTGTTTTGCACAGAAACTCAATTAAGTTTATTCTGTAAATGAACACCAGTTACTTTTATTATGATTTTCCAGAAGTCAGTGCTTTCTTTGATAGTTACTAAGAATTAAAAGTATTTTTTGTGGCTTTTGCCTATGCAATTGTACATGCGGGTTGATGAAATGGAAAACTTTGCTGCACATTATTTTATGCTTCACTGAAAATATTTCTAGTCTTACGGCGCATCCCATTTATTCCAGTTTATATTTCAACGGTAGGTTTTTTAGTTTTGGGGGGCTGGGTTCTGGAGTTTGGGTTGGTTTCTTTTTTGATGAAGGTAGAAGAGATTTTTTTTTTTTTCCTACCAATAGCTTATTTTTATTATAAACAAACTTGCAATTTGATGTTAGATGAAACATTTGCAGCTTTTATACAGTGCTGTGTAAAACTAGCAAAATAATTGGGGTTTGTAGAAAAAAATTAAACCAGTTGATTAATTTCAGTTGTTCATTTATTAATTGCCAAGACATTAATATTTTTCTTCAGAATTTTATTTTGTTTGTTACTTTAGGGAAATGATGTTCGCTATAACATTCTTGTGGAAAATAGTGCAGTAGTTAATTTGTCGTACATTTACCGAAGCAAAAAAATTGATTCTGTATTCTTTACAGTCTGTCCCTTCAAGCAGTTCAGATTCCAGTAAGAAGGTAAGCACTCCTTTTCTTTTCAATTTAAAGGGAAAAAATTCTTACAGTTGTAACTTGGCATGACTCCTTTTATTTCAGTGTTACTACAGTTCCTTTTACTAGTTAAGACTTTCCAACTTTTTGACCCAGATTGATTGATATGGTTTGAATCAGTTTGGTTCTTAGATGCCTTATACTAACTAGCTGTGCTGTAGTGGCTTTTGTTGATAGTTGACTTAACTGTGTATAAAATAAAATTTCATACATGATTATGGGGATTTGTTTGAAAAAAGTTAGGATAGTGATTGTGAGGTAATGAGGACTTTTAAGGATGTAGATTATGTAGTTATTATTCAGGTAGGGCTGGAGAATGAGTGTGACTCAAAGCAAGTGAAATCAATAGAATTCATATTACTGTTGAATTTGGCTCATAATATTTACATGGACTCTTCCTATCAGTTCAGTCCCCAGGAAACTCGGGGCTAAGAGTATGGTGTGTTCAGTAAACACACAGTGTACCCATTCATGTCCTCACAGATATTTTTTTTTTCATTTTAGTTTCCCATTGCTTTAAGAATTCAAAACATACGGATTTTTTTTTTTTTTTAAACCTTAGTTTTAAAAAAATAATACTTCTCCCTGTTTTATACTAGAATTCTTTACTTCTGGTAGCACCAACTCTCTTCCTCTTTTTACACCCACTGGATAATATGGATAAAATTAACTGTTTTCAGTTTAAAAAAAAAAAGGAAAAAAAAAGCTTCTAATTAGAAAACATTAAAACCTAAACAGAAGATACTACTATTGCATTTGGCTTAATTTTTTTGAATGAACTCAATATTAAGCCTTTTTTTAGCATAATACTGAATAAAGAGGAAAGAAATTGATCTTCCAGTTTGGGGTGGAAAGTTGAAGATCAAAAAGGACACACAGTATAGGCCAGTGGATATGGTACAATACATGAAATCCTGCTTCTGCCTCTACAGCTGAGTCATTGTGTGACTGGGAGCAAGTCTTTTAAGAGTAAACCATGTATACATATATATTCTTCTTTGCTTGGTAATGTGCATTAAAAAAATTGTAAAAATAGTATTTTATAAAAGTGATCATCCATAGCGCTATTATCAGAGTGTGTAAATTTAGAGAATTCAGTATTCTTCATTTTCCTAACATATTTAACTATTTAAATAAACTCTGTGATGAGTAAACAGCTTTCTGTGATTTCTCTATAGGTAGTGGTCATTGCCAACAGCAACCCTTTTCCACCTGTGGTAAGTAGTTTTTCTCTACAATGCTCAGAATTTTGACTCAAAAAGCTTTCAAATACCTACATGCTTAATTTGTCAGAAAGATTCCTGGTGTATGGAGACAACTCTTTGGCAGGCAGGGTTTACCCTAGGTACATAATTATCTTCAGGGAAAGCCAGTAGTAAGATAGCAATCATAGAACCACGAGATTTGTAGCTATTAGTACTTGCAGAGATACTGGAGTAGCTGCAGATTCCAGGTCTCTCAATGCATACAGCCTCTGTGTTCCTGAATAGTTTTGATTTTCTGTTTCCATTGCAATTTTCTGCTTTAAATTCATTTCCATTCTCATTTTTAAACTATTAAATTCCCACTCTGCTTACTTGGAACTCATACAGTCAGTCAAAAGTAAGTTTAGCCTTAAGGTGGTTCAAGTGAGTTTGTATGACGTAACATTTGATATATATGTTTTTCTGATGTCTAGATTCTAATCAAACATGTTGTTGTTCTAACCTGAATGAAGATTAAGATGCATTTGTTCTATTCTATCCTTTCCATATCTTTCTTTCACATTTGATTCTGTATTGCATCCAAAAGATAGGGCCCTTTTTCTGCTGCAATATTCTGTTGGGACAAGCTCTTGTGCAAAATAATTAAAGATTGTTTTGTTTCATTTGCAGCGTCATACCTACCCCCAGGTAAGCATACTTTTTTCTTATGATTTCTATAATAGTAATATAGTTCTTATGGGATCAAAATTCAGTAAACAAATGACTGGATGAGGAACTGAATTCGTATGTGTGGTGATATTTGCCCAATGCAGGTGACAGTGAGACAGGTTGGAGGGATGATGATGTCTTAGCTTCACTCATCATGTTTGGAAAAGCCGAGCTGACTGGTAGTGCAAAAAGAGCATAGCCTGTGCGCTGCTGCTCTCCACATAAGCTGTAATAGAAGCAGATGCAAGTGTAGAAAATTACTTTTTAGGGTCAGGCTGCCTCCCCAGACTTTCAGAGCTAAGGATAAACTAGTTTAATGCTGGGTGTTAAGAATCTGATACTTGGTACGCCACATGTATGACCTTTCCCTTTATTCTCCCAAGCAATATAGTACAACTTGGTATTTTCTGTTTAACTGCATTGCCTTTAAACAAGTCAAATTATATGTTCTCTGTTGTGGTTTTTGATTTTGGGGTTTTGTTTTTGTTTTTTTTTTTTCAGAGTTTGGGAAGTTCTGCTACTAGGATCATAATACAGGTAGACATTCTTTCTCCATTATACTTGAGTTTTAACTGAAACCCTGTCTCAGTAAACCAAATACTGATTCATCCCTTTGGGAATAAATAAGTATGGATATCTTAGATATCCACATACTACTGTGGTGGAGTAGGGCGTTTCTGTGGTTACAGCAAAGTGGATATCCTACTTGGTTGCTGATTAAGGACCATTGCAGTTGTTTTTCTACAGTCATAAAATATTAAAACCTCTGAAGGTAATTCCATAGGGCTCGCAAAATTTAACCATCTCAATCTGCTCAGGAAGGTGGATGGAATTATAGAACTTAAGCTTGAATGTTATTCGATATTGAATCAAATATGCATAAATCATAACCTGCACAGTTCCATGTTCATTTAAACAGTCTGGTTTTTTAATGGCAACAGCTAGTTCAGCATTACATTTTTTAAAACCCTGCTAGTTAGTGCTTAGGTGAACTTTTGTTTGCCATTATATTTATAACGTTGCTTCTTGATAACCAGGCACTTGGAAAGTTGATTACAATCCAATCTCATTAAGAGCATGTTTGTAAAGTATTATGGATATCACTCAGGTATATTTTTTTTCTGGGTCCTTTGCAAAGGACCACTCTGCACGGCTTAGGCTTTCCTTCCTTCATAGGATAATCCTTCAGACTGTGACAACAAATTCTCACTTTCATTGAAAGATCAGTAGCAGGTTACCCCAGCTGAAATTTGTCTTTTGAAAATCATTAAATTATAGCATTAGATTCTTCCATAACTAGTGATGAATGCCGGCAGAGAAAGGAATAAGATTTCCTTGTTATTTTATTTCTGAATGTAAATTATAATGTTTTGATTACACAGGTTAAATTTTTTCAATGTGTATATATAAATAAAACTGAAGAACATTTGATTGCTCTCATAATCCACGTACTTCATGGGAATTGAAAGATTTTCTGCAGTGACTTTTCGTTTGGTTAAATTGTAACTGTGGCTTTCCCAATTTTCGTTTTGACAAAGCCTTTGTCAAAAGTTCGTTGTGCTTATTCATGAAAAAATCAATCATAATATGAATATAAATGGATATGAGTTCAATGGCAATTTGTGTGATACATTTGAAGGGCAGAATTATCTAAACTCTCTTGATATACCACAATATGACACAACGATGTATTATATGATGAATTTTCATTAAGAAAATGACATCAAGATGTATAAATACTTTTAGTACTTTATTTATAAAGGATCTTTATATACTGAAGTGTTGAACATTGTAGCACATGGAGATGGCATAAATAAAGTAAGAAAGGGCATAAGGAATTCTTTCTGGCTTTCAAACTGTCTAGTAGATATAAGGATAGAGTTGCTTCTTGAAATGTCTTAGTACGTAAGCAATTCCTCTTAAAAATAAATAACCATTTTTTTTGTTCCTGTGTAGAGTGGACAAAGACAGCAAAGCAGCAGTACTTATGTTCAGGTAAGTGAATTTAAAAAGGACTAGAAATATTCCTGTAGACTTCACTAAAACAGGGCCAGCACAACTTGAAAATAAATGATTTCCTACATTTTTAAATGTATTTCACAGGGTGCAGATACTTTTATTTCTCTGAGTTTTTGTTCATAAAATTCTCATCTGGTATTGGCATTCAACTATTTTTGTTTCGAATGCTCATAAATGTATTTCCATGTGTGATTGCTGAAGTGAAATGACTATTCCACTCAATGTGTCCTCTAAAAGGTGCATAAAAGTCATGGCACTGAGAGGAAGTGATTCTAGGCTCAGTGTCACACCATAAATCCCATTCTGGTAGATTCAGATCCCGTGTATATTAGATCTCAAATTTCCAATAGCTGCTTATCCATATCAAGAATGATGGAGAATCATAACTGCGGACCTATGTGCGATATCTTTCAGCCTTACTTAAAGCCAAGCAGATAAAGCTAACTGTGTGAAAAAAAAGTTAGTATTTGTTAAATTCACACACATAATGATAACATAAATGGTGGTGGAGTAACACATGAGAATATTCATAGCATGAACTCAAGTATGAAGGCTCTTCAGCCTTCCTACTCTTTGGGGGAGGATGGGGGAGTGGAAAGGCAAATGTCTGTCAATATTCTCTGTACCATGACAGCATTGTTGTGAAGGCCAGGAGGAAGTCCGGGCTCTTCATACTGCCCTGCACAGCTTTAGGATGTAGTTGCTTGCTTTTCCTAATGCAGGCTTGGACCCCTTACAAAAGGGAAGTAACCCAATGGTGTCCTTGTCTTAGGGTGGGCCAAGTTACTCGGGCAGCAGCAGTTCTTACGGCCAGGTAAGCAAACTGGATATTCTGTAGGAAGTTCTTCACTGTCCTCTCTGTGACCAGCACGACTGGCAGGGTTTTGAGAGAGATGTTTCCTTTGGTAGTCTGCGTCTTGATTCGATTCATGGCTTTTGCTGAGAATAGGACAGTCTGCTGCACAGATGCTAGCGTACTGCTCTGTCTCCTTTGGCTCAGGAAGAGCCTTTTTGGGAAACCCTTGTGCAGCTGTATTTCTGTGAACATCACACCCTTTATTGAAGCCTCCTTGTCAAGGTGGTAATTGTCTTCTCTTTTTTAAAGGGCTCCCAAGGCAGCCAGTCCTCTGGCCAGGTGATACTTTTTTTGCTGCAATGCATTGACCTTTTCTGTAGGAGCCTGCTTTGTAAATGGACTTTGGGGTTTGGTTGGGGTTTTTTTCCTTCTTGGTGTTGCTGAGTGGTCCTTGATTTTGGTTTGTACCACTGAATTACCGTGAAGGAAAAAGAACATAGTGCGGAGGAACTTTTAGTGGAAATGGGCTTTTCTGTCACGGCTGTGCTAAGACTATGGCTTTGCTCACAAATGAGTTCTTGCCTTTCTTACAGGGCTACCAGCAACAAGGTGGCAGTTCCTATGGCCAGGTTAGCATCAGTCAGTCACCAGTCAGAATACAGCATTTGAGAAAGTGGAGTGCCATGGCACTGCAAAAGCACTTAAAAGTCACTCAGAATTTGAACTTTAAGGGACGTTTTCTCTGAAAGTGTGTGTTCTCACACTCAAAATTTATCCACGTGCTACTTCTTTATCTGGAATCCCAGCACGTGAAGTCATGGCTCTCAGCACCATTGTGAAGGCCAGGAGGAAGTCCGGGCTCTTCATACTGCCCTGCACAGCTTTAGGATGTAGTTGCTTGCTTTTCCTAATGCAGGCTTGGACCCCTTACAAAAGGGAAGTAACCCAATGGTGTCCTTGTCTTAGGGTGGGCCAAGTTACTCGGGCAGCAGCAGTTCTTACGGCCAGGTAAGCAAACTGGATATTCTGTAGGAAGTTCTTCACTGTCTTCTCTGTGACCAGCACGACTGGCAGGTTTTTGAGAGTCATGTTTCCTTTGGTAGTCTGCGTCTTGATTCGATTCATGGCTTTTGCTGAGAATAGGACAGTCTGCTGCACAGATGCTAGCGTACTCTCCTTTGGCTCAGGAAGAGCCTTTTTGGGAAACCCTTGTGCAGCTGTATTTCTGTGAACATCACACCCTTTATTGAAGCCTCCTTGTCAAGGTGGTAATTGTCTTCTCTTTTTTAAAGGGCTCCCAAGGCAGCCAGTCCTCTGGCCAGGTGATACTTTTTTTGCTGCAATGCATTGACCTTTTCTGTAGGAGCCTGCTTTGTAAATGGACTTTGGGGTTTGGTTGGGGTTTTTTTCCTTCTTGGTGTTGCTGAGTGGTCCTTGATTTTGGTTTGTACCACTGAATTACCGTGAAGGAAAAAGAACATAGTGCGGAGGAACTTTTAGTGGAAATGGGCTTTTCTGTCACGGCTGTGCTAAGACTATGGCTTTGCTCACAAATGAGTTCTTGCCTTTCTTACAGGGCTACCAGCAACAAGGTGGCAGTTCCTATGGCCAGGTAAGCATCAGTCAGAATACAGCATTTGAGAAAGTGGAGTGCCATGGCACTGCAAAAGGTAGCAGATTTTAAAATATTTTTTTTTCAATTGATACTGAGTTCTCAACAACAAAAAAAAAAATCTCTGAATCCATTTCAAAACTTTTGTTGTGAAAGTGACAGTTGTGTTTTTAACGGATATCTGCAGGAAGCATGGGTTCCCGTTGCTATCTGATCTTTTCCATGGGTATGGAACTTTAAAATTTGTGATAGAAATAGTCTATTTGGTGCTGTTCCTGTTCCAGTTGATTTACATGGTACAAGACAAATTTGTAGTCAGTTCTTCGCTGTCTCCTTTGGTCTCAGTACAGAGAAACAGCGTGGAGGAGCTAAAGAACATTGGGTCAGGTCCTCAGCTGCAGGCAGATTTGGTCTTAGAGCCTGCAGCTGATGAATGTTTACCTCCCTTTACTGTTCTTATGTGAATTAAAGCAGCCCTAAGATAGCTATGAATTTTGTCAGGATCTTTATGTCAGATAGGAGAAACAGAGAAGATAGTCCAAATCCATTTTGGTAATCCCTGTCTTCATAACTCTGCCAGACAGCTGTGGCACAGGTCTGCATGTGCATGAAACATCTGCTCTTTTTTGACATTACATTGAAGGCAGATTGCATCAGCAGCTTATACCTACCCACAGTAACTTTATATTACTGAAACTTTTTCAAAAAGTACTGGCATCCTTGACTAATTCATTTGACCTGCTACTTTAAATTGCATTGATTTGTTTCCATTTTATGAATCTATATTTTTTCTAGGATTCTTTCTTGATTTTTTTAAAATTATTTTTCACCTTCATTTTCCCTCAGAGGAAGGGAATTGTGCAACTGGGGCCCACCAAAAATACAAATATAGGAAATCAGTATTCACCTACCATTAGCCATTAAGCCCAGTGTCTGAGAAACAGCAGGCAAAAGATACGTAATGAGAAAATGTTGCATCCCTTCAGTATCCTGGAAAACCTAGAGTCCCATCTGAGACGGATGTAAAACAACTCTATGACTGTCGTTTGATAAACACAGTGTGATCAGATGTTCATCCAGAAAAAGAAATACCAAAAGAATTCTAGTTAAGCAGCAGAGTCTGTACATTCTCTGTCTCATTCTGGGTTTTTCCCCCACAAAGGGACAAACATGAGAGAGGCGTCTGCTTCACAAATACAATAATTATGAATCAATAATTCCTTTCTTACAGGGCTACCAGCAACAAGGTGGCAGTTCCTATGGCCAGGTAAGCATCAGTCAGTCACCAGTCAGAATACAGCATTTGAGAAAGTGGAGTGCCATGGCACTGCAAAAGCACTTAAAAGTCACTCAGAATTTGAACTTTAAGGGACGTTTTCTCTGAAAGTGTGTGTTCTCACACTCAAAATTTATCCACGTGCTACTTCTTTATCTGGAATCCCAGCACGTGAAGTCATGGCTCTCAGCACCATTGTGAAGGCCAGGAGGAAGTCCGGGCTCTTCATACTGCCCTGCACAGCTTTAGGATGTAGTTGCTTGCTTTTCCTAATGCAGGCTTGGACCCCTTACAAAAGGGAAGTAACCCAATGGTGTCCTTGTCTTAGGGTGGGCCAAGTTACTCGGGCAGCAGCAGTTCTTACGGCCAGGTAAGCAAACTGGATATTCTGTAGGAAGTTCTTCACTGTCTTCTCTGTGACCAGCACGACTGGCAGGGTTTTGAGAGAGATGTTTCCTTTGGTAGTCTGCGTCTTGATTCGATTCATGGCTTTTGCTGAGAATAGGACAGTCTGCTGCACAGATGCTAGCGTACTGCTCTGTCTCCTTTGGCTCAGGAAGAGCCTTTTTGGGAAACCCTTGTGCAGCTGTATTTCTGTGAACATCACACCCTTTATTGAAGCCTCCTTGTCAAGGTGGTAATTGTCTTCTCTTTTTTAAAGGGCTCCCAAGGCAGCCAGTCCTCTGGCCAGGTGATACTTTTTTTGCTGCAATGCATTGACCTTTTCTGTAGGAGCCTGCTTTGTAAATGGACTTTGGGGTTTGGTTGGGGTTTTTTTCCTTCTTGGTGTTGCTGAGTGGTCCTTGATTTTGGTTTGTACCACTGAATTACCGTGAAGGAAAAAGAACATAGTGCGGAGGAACTTTTAGTGGAAATGGGCTTTTCTGTCACGGCTGTGCTAAGACTATGGCTTTGCTCACAAATGAGTTCTTGCCTTTCTTACAGGGCTACCAGCAACAAGGTGGCAGTTCCTATGGCCAGGTAAGCATCAGTCAGTCACCAGTCAGAATACAGCATTTGAGAAAGTGGAGTGCCATGGCACTGCAAAAGCACTTAAAAGTCACTCAGAATTTGAACTTTAAGGGACGTTTTCTCTGAAAGTGTGTGTTCTCACACTCAAAATTTATCCACGTGCTACTTCTTTATCTGGAATCCCAGCACGTGAAGTCATGGCTCTCAGCACCATTGTGAAGGCCAGGAGGAAGTCCGGGCTCTTCATACTGCCCTGCACAGCTTTAGGATGTAGTTGCTTGCTTTTCCTAATGCAGGCTTGGACCCCTTACAAAAGGGAAGTAACCCAATGGTGTCCTTGTCTTAGGGTGGGCCAAGTTACTCGGGCAGCAGCAGTTCTTACGGCCAGGTAAGCAAACTGGATATTCTGTAGGAAGTTCTTCACTGTCTTCTCTGTGACCAGCACGACTGGCAGGTTTTTGAGAGTCATGTTTCCTTTGGTAGTCTGCGTCTTGATTCGATTCATGGCTTTTGCTGAGAATAGGACAGTCTGCTGCACAGATGCTAGCGTACTCTCCTTTGGCTCAGGAAGAGCCTTTTTGGGAAACCCTTGTGCAGCTATATTTCTGTGAACATCACACCCTTTATTGAAGCCTCCTTGTCAAGGTGGTAATTGTCTTCTTTTTTAAAGGGGGCTCCCAAGGCAGCCAGTCCTCTGGCCAGGTGATACTTTTTTTGCTGCAATGCATTGACCTTTTCTGTAGGAGCCTGCTTTGTAAATGGACTTTGGGGTTTGGTTGGGGTTTTTTTCCTTCTTGGTGTTGCTGAGTGGTCCTTGATTTTGGTTTGTACCACTGAATTACCGTGAAGGAAAAAGAACATAGTGCGGAGGAACTTTTAGTGGAAATGGGCTTTTCTGTCACGGCTGTGCTAAGACTATGGCTTTGCTCACAAATGAGTTCTTGCCTTTCTTACAGGGCTACCAGCAACAAGGTAGCGGTTCCTATGGCCAGGTAAGCATCAGTCAGTCACCAGTCAGAATACAACATTTATGTGATGTTCCCATATATGTATTGAGAATTCTGTTGTTTGTTTCTTGAAATAATTTAGTAAGTTCTCAATAGAAGTAAGAGTTGTGAACTTTTTTTCATATGGGTCTACAACAATAGGCTCAGTGAAGCAACTCTTTCCCTCATAGAAATGACTGCATGTAGGTGTCAGCTTTTTGATGCACTATAATATTCAACACACAAATATTTACTACACACAAAACTTTACAAGAAAATTCACAATAGGATTAGCTGATCTTCTACCTTTTAAGCAGTCAGGCAGCTAAAGCTCTTTAAAACTTATTTCTGTATTTGAAACAGAGAAGGAAAAGGAATATTTAGGTTACTGAGCTGCTCTTTTTTTTTCTTCCCAGCAGGGTGGATCTGCTTCTTCAGGTGGCAGTGGTGGTTGTGGACAAGTAAGTCCTCTTTCTCCAAACTATTTGAAAACTAGACTCAGCTTTCTTTGTAGTAGTAACATATTTTTTCAATTATGTTATAAATTATTTGTTAGTTGGAATCTTTTGTTTTCACTGTTACATGGAATTATCTAGCACAGAGATCAAGAAAGGCTGATATTGTTGGTCATTGTAACCAAAATGAAGTGGCTTCTCCCATATAGTTTTACACACAGAAGACGGACAAGTAGTGATTCATCTGTCTACTCAGTAAACAGATAAAATCATTGCTTGGGAATGGTTTTTGGATGTTGCTCTATTTAGTTCCTATAGAAAGCAATAGGATCAGAGAGTGACTCTTGTGGAATAAGAATTAGATGAGTAGTTTTCATCCTGGTTCCATTTCAACTTGTATATGCCTACAACGGTGTAAAGATGGTGTCTTCAGTGATGAGATCCCAGGTGAAAGGCTGATGGATGAGGCCATGATAGTAAACCCATGTTCAAATAAATGTATTGGGGAAAGCAATGAGGATCAGAGAGAAGTTTGAACACAGAAATTTTTAGCAGAAATATTAGGATTGATATGAGTTAAGTATGAATGGAAGCGCATGTGAAAACATCATAAGCAGCAGTACAAGGACACAGTTAACAGCAATGAAACTGATAAACACTGAAGAATGTGTTACTTCCACCAAAGCTGTGTCACAGGTTGACTTACCAACAGAAGACCTGTGCTCTAATAATGGGAGGGTGACAGCCAGGGTGGAACTCATTGTGTCTACTGTTTCTCATCCTGTTATCCCAACAGGAAGACTGGCTATAGCCAAAATATACCCAAAATGGGGAAATGAAAGGCATTGGGCAGCAGTGTTGCCTAAGATCTATGATGAGTGAATCTAGCAACATTCTGAGGTAGATGGTCACACAACAGTAACTGTTGATTCCTAAAAGGACTGTCCAAAAAAAAAAACCCAAACAGTTCATCTTTACCAATCAAGGAACTAGGATGATACAGAGAGACTTCAGTTGCCAGCTTACCTCGCTTTCCATGTGGCACACAAGTAGTCCTGCTTTGATCATCTGTGTGCATGTGTCTTGGTGCTTGTGAGTATGTGGGTATGGGAGTGGCAGAGGGTAAAGCCACAGACTTAAAGGGTTAAATAAAATTAAACTCACCCTCTGTAAAGTTTTATGTTGAGTTTTGTTACATTAATTCTCACATAAGAAATTTTAAGAAATCTAATTACTTTGCAAGAAAATGAAAATTTGGGCATTTACCTTCTGGTTTGTTTGTTTGTTTTTTAACAGGGTATTTCATATGATAGCAATCCCTGCCACCAGGTAAATGGCCTTCCTCCTCTGATTTTAAGACGCATCCAAAACTAGTTTTGCCACTAACTCAATTAGTACCGACTTCAGATTCATAGACTGCAAATCCATGTAATCTTACCAATTATGGGATTAGAACTCACTATGTTCCTATACACAGGAGCATCACAGGGGCTTGGGATCTTTTTTCCCCCTTTTTCCTAGCATTATGTCTGTGAAATGTCTAGCTCTACAGGATATTAAGGCCAGATTCTGGAAAGAACAAGTCCGCTGCAGAGTTGCTCAACCGGCACTACTTAAATCAGGGCTGGAGCTCACCAGCCTCTCTGTGGACTTTTCCCATCAAAAGTCAGAACCTATTTTAGGACTGCCACTTGAGGTTCCTGAAGGAGACTGGCTTAACAATTCATTCAGTTTGTGCAGTGAAGTATAGATAGCTACATGTGTATTTGTTACAAGTTTCAGTGTTGGAACTCTAAAAACCAGACATCCTAAAAGATGTCTGCTATGTTTAATGAAACAATCTCTGTAAATGTTAAAAATTAGTAAGAAAACAGCAATAGATTTTTCTCTTTTTTTATTCATGATACTTCTCTTGATTCTTACTGATTTTTCTCAAGAAACAGAAAATTGGATAGATTCATTGTATTAACAAATATCATGTTTTAGCAATATAAATATATACTATATTTATAAATACACAAACAACATAGGTGTCGCTATAATATTATTATAATGTGGTATAGTATATACAATACACTGTAGGTAATATATTATTGTAACTTGAAAGAATAATATATGAAATAGGTATCTATTTTATAATAGCTTTTCAAATTTTTTTAATAAAGAGGAGCTATTTCTTTCTAAGACTAAAGGAAACACTCAAATTTTTGTTCTAAAAACTGCTAGAACATTGAAAGAGAATATTTTTGATTTCATTTTCCTTTGCCTCTTCTTGATGAAATCTCAGCCCCATTTTAGTGAATGGCAAACATCCCACTCATTTCAATAGCTCAGGATTTCACTGTTCTTATTATGCACTTTTGACACTAATATGTCTACAAATGTCTCTTCTGATTTCACTTGAAGGAGTTACATTCCTCTTCTAAAGAAGGCACATTGAAACATACTGAGTGTTTTATTTAAAACCTTTTTCTCAAGGGCACTGTATCTCACAGCTCACAGCTTTCTGTGTAATAATGCTACCAGGGGAGTTTTTCATTCCATTTGTATAAATTAGGTTCTCTACAAGAGAAAAAAAGATATATTCTCTAGAGACCGTTCAGAATGAAACTCATCTGTGTACTAGGCATTCCTTAAAGATAAATGTTTGTGGTTCCTTGACATATGTCTCATCTAGTATTTACTTTTGCACTATTGGCAATCTATGCTTACTACGTTAGAAATCATATCTATACTGCGTATCTGCCTCTGCTCCTTACTCCTCCTAAGCAAGTATCATAGCTTTCATTAAAAATAATCCATAGCCAAACAGTAAGTGTCTAAGGCACACATAATTTTTGTCTAATTTACAGGATGGATCACAGGGTGGTCAGGTAGGTAGCTCTTTATTATCCATTGGTAAAAACTTTTTAAGCAGTTCTAATCCAGAGTATAGTTTTCCTGCTCGTGAGGGTATAGACTCTTGCAGAGTCTCCCCAGCTCTAGCCTCTCTTCAAACATACTTTTTATCAGCCCTGAAATTCCACTTACATAGAAAGAACTCAGCAACCTAATAAAGCTAGCTCTGTGGATTCTGATCAAATTCAGCTCTCCAGCATTATAACTGTTGCTGTTTTGTTTTCACAGGGGGGATCATACACCTCACAAAACTATGGTGGTAGCCAAGTAAGTTCTAGATTATTATTTCCTCCCACTGAGGTTTTACTTCACACAGGTTCCACAATGGCTGATCAATATCCGATCTGCAATATTGTAATATTAATTCTAATTTTTTTGTGTGTGTGTGTGTTAGCAGAGTGGATCATCATCCTCACAAAATTATGGTGGCAACCAGGTAGGTAGACCTTGATTTTCTCCTCGTAAAGACTTTTATAATATCTGATAACTTATCTAGATATCTAGAAAGTTGTATTTGTTCAAATGAATCCCAGGCAATTGTTTATTCGAGCTTTACAGCCCCCAACAAAATCACAGTTTCTTCTGAAGTAGGGTTTATGTTTGTTTGTTTTATAGGGTGGATCCTCGTCACAAAACTATGGTGGTGGCCAAGTAAGTAATGCTCTATTTCCCTACTTGTATGTCACTTCATACAAGCTTTAGCCTCTGCTCAAAATCAGGTTCACTATATCCTAATTTTCTCTGATTTTTTGTGTGTGTGTTTGTTTCTTTTAAAGGGTGGATCATCCTCAGACAACTATTATGATAGTCAGGTAACTAGTTCTTGCTTTCTCCTAGTTATATATTATTTCATGCTAATCTTTGTAGTCCCTGCATCATCTTTCTCAAAGATGTAATAAAACATAATAGTTTCTGTGCTCTTTTTGTTTTGGATTGGTTTGGGGTTTTTTCTTTACAGAAGAATGGAACATTCCCTGTAAGCAACTATTGCAGCCATGTATTTGGCTCCTTATTTTCCTTATAAAGATCTTACTTTAACTCAGCTTTTTCTTTGCATGAGCCTCAATTCTGTCTTGCAGAGTACAACATCAAAGTGTATTTTTAACAATCCATTTTTGTGAGGAAATAACTGGTATCTGATGTCCTTCTAGGATTCACAAGATTTCTCAGACGATAATCCCAATGCTTGTGATGATGTGAGTATGCATTCTCTAATATATTTTCATCACAACATTTTTCATGTAGATGGCAAAATATTGCGCTGCTAGATGCAGTCTTGTGAGCAGAACGATCCAGAAAGAACGTTGAGTTCCCACACTAATAGCTGTTTCAGCAATTGCATGTTTTCTTACTGAAAATTGTCATATAAGTGTTTACAGATACATTTTGTGCTTTTAAATGCATTTAACTTGATGAAATGAAATATGGATAAAAAATTTCAGTGGCCTTGCAGTAAACAGAAGATTTTGCCTAAAATCTAAGTATACATTTTACAGTAATTTTCCAAAAAAAGAAAATCCCATAGACAGACAAGCTTTAAATACATACAATGAAAGAAAAGAGGATATACAGTGGCAGATATTCCACTGCTTCTCATGTTAAATTTCTACCAATCTAAGGTTGCTATTAAAATGTTTTTCAGACTGGAATGGTAGGATTTCAAACAAATTTAGGCAAGGCTGTGGAGGATGTGAGCAACAAATGATTTTTGTTATGTCTGTATGCAGTATCAGAAAGAATCAGGTCTCTGTAAGCTTACTGTATTTAGATAATTCTTAAAGAAGGAAATCATTTATTCTTTTCCAGAATGACACTACCTATAGTGCCAATGGTCAGGTAAGTGCTTTTTTTCTTCTCTAGTATTCAAATTCTTATGATTAATGACAGTGTTAGTAACTGAACACTTCTACGTTAGACCTGTGGGCCTCTAATTGTAGTGTATGATTGCTTTATAATACTCTTCAAAAACTTAAAGAATGAGATATGTGATGTTCTAGTTCTCTGTACTCAGTCCCTTCTAGCTGTTCTCAAGGCTGCTGCACAATTATTTAAAACTGCACAATACTCCTAAGAATATATACTAACAGGTTTTTTTGCAGTATATGCACTTTGGATAGTTGCTTGGGAATTAACCATCTGTGTACCTGAGGCACATAGCCACCTCAAGCTTTTTCCACTTGTTCTAATTTAAACTTGCATATATGCTAGTATTGTAAAGTAACATTTATCCCCTGGCAATACTCTCTCGTCAAGACTTTCCATCTGTCCTACAAGCAAAAACTGTGATTAACGTGGATAGATTGTGACGAAGCAAATACACTGTTGTGTAAATGCATGACATTTTTCTGTACTACTTTCTCTTCGTAGAGAAGCGTTTTCCATCTGTTACAGCCTCCTTTTGTTTTACTGCCATCTAGAGTAACCTTCTGTCGTCAGCTACTTGCCTTCAGTTGTCAGCCATACACTTTACTGCTTCATTATTTTCCCTGTTTTTGCTCTCTAGTACTTTAATACTGCACCAAACATGTATACTAGGAAGTAAGGAGGCCTTCTGAAAACATCTTTTGGTTTTGCTTGTATTTACCTTGAATGCATTGCATTAAGTTTAATGCAAAAAGTTCTGCAAAAAAAAAAATCCTTCAGCAGCAAGCCCTGTTTAAGAGTCTCATCACTTCCTCTTTTGTTCACAAGAAATGCTATTATTCCCTTGGTTATCCCTATCCAGTGCGTATGGCTGGACTTCATTGTAAAAGAGTTTGCTTCTAAACATTCTCACAAAGAAGGGTGGGGGATGTTTAAAAAAAAAAAAAAATCATTGTACAGATTGTTCTCTAAACCACAACGGTTGAGCTGAGGGAGGCTCTGCTAGGCAGGAACTTCTGATGAAGTTCTGATGAGTGATAAGGTGAAAACAGGTGAAGAATATGCTTTTTAAGACTCCTACTGATAGTAAAATGATAGCTCTGGACATTTTCCTGTCCCAAAATATGCCACCCTGACAAGTTTAGGTAGATTTTTGCTGAAAGTATTTTGTGTGGATAGCTGCATCTATAAAGTAATAACTGGCTACTGGCTTCTGGCTCCTTTACAGAGTTCTGGTTGTGCAAAGAAGAAAGTTGTTGCCCGAGTAAGTAACTTTTTTTTTTTCTTTTCTTTTCTTTTCTTACTGCTTGTAGGATTTTTGCCCTAACTATACCTAATTTGTCCCAATTATGCCTAATTTTTCCCTAATTACATTTGTCCTAATTAATATTCTCCTATTTAAGGAAAAAGTAAAATAAAATAGCTTGGCTATTTGCTCGTGTATTAACTTAACTTTAAATGACATATATGTATATAAAAAAAAGACATGAAAATCCTGCTATGAGGTATAAGGCAGCTCAAATTTCTGTTCTTCAGGAAGCACATACAGAGTTGGTCCAAGCCGAAGTTAAAATTAAATGAGTGTCATACAGAGCACAGCTAAAATTTTAACTGAAGTAAGATACAATAATGAAGTAAGAAGGAATAATGTTTGGGAATCTATTGTGCTCAGCATGTTGTGGAGGAGATACGGATATGTGCATTGTATAGCTTCAAGTCAGACTCAGCAGTAGCCTATAAAAATTATGTGCAAATAACCTTTTATTTTATAATAAGGCATTCCTACTCAATGTATGCATTAAAGGGTCTGGAGTTGTTATAAATAAATAATACGGGGAAAAAAAGAAGGCCTGTCACTGATCATAGAGTTTTCATCTCTTAACAGTAAATGTCTTTGTTTTTTTACAGGATACATCACATGTTTTGAGCAGAAGAGACTATAACGTACAGGTAAACCATTCTTGTAACTTTTTCTGAACTACTGCTGGTGTTACAGCTCCATGGTGTATTACCTACAAAAAGAAGAATAAGGATCTAGTTTCCACAACAGAGTATTCTGTTTAGGGTGAGGTAGTTCTTTCCCAATAGAACTATGTATTTTAATTCATTACCCTTACAGAAAAATGAGTCATTTCTTGTTTCTTCACAGAATGAGTCTTCTACTTCGAATAGCAGCCACACTAACCTCCAGGTAATAACTTAGTGACTACTGTATGATCTCATTGCAAGGAGCTTTCTGATAAATTATATTTCATTTCTGGAAATTAGGTTCCACTAATGTATCTGTGCTGAAGGATGCTATTTTGATTTGGCAGCATTTTCCCTATAATGTTATAATTTTGCACAGTTGTAAATAATAATAATGGGCCTGGAATATACTGTCTCCTCTGTTCCTTCACTCCACTAAGCAAGTAAGCATTGCAGGTGTTTCTTTACATAACATTTTGTAAAAGTTGTTTGCAAAACACAAAAGAAATAGTTTTAGAATCTTTTTTTAGAAACAGCCTGCTCTAGTGATGGTAACGGCCAGATACATAATTCTGTTTCATTTAGAATTCGGTAACAGGGTACATCTTAGTGGTTATGTACTCCTGTTACAAAATTAGGTCCAACTTTCATATTCTGTAGACTTATGTGCTGCTGCAGCAGTGTATATGTTATAGAATTATGTGAAATTTAACTGATCCAGAGTGGCACCTGATTCTATTTTTCTTAATATTTTGTACTGTATTGGCACCCATCAGCTTCCCAGAGATCTGGAATCCCGCTAGGCCCAGCATTATGTAGATGCAACACTAGCATAGCCCTCTGTCTCAGAGAGTTTGAAGTCTAGTTCAATAGCACAGTCAGATCTCTGAGCTCCAGAGAGTAACAGTTTTCTTAATTAGTTTTCTTGATACCCATTCCGTGTGTATTGTATCCAGTCACTAATTAAGTTTCATCCAAATTTATGTTTTCACAGTGATTCATACAGAGAGTTCTGAACAGATAATATTTGTTGGTGCAGGGAAGTAGTACAAAGAGTTTGTCACCTTACTTCTCACTACATAATTTTATACGTTAGATTCTGATAAAATGCTTCTATAAAAATAATTGTTTTCTTCACAGGGTGGATCATTTATTGCAACTGGTGGTGGATCAAGTAGTCAGGTCAGGATTTTCTCTATTTTTATTTAGTTGTGTCCAGATAGCTTCCTGGTAACTAAACTAATTAAATTCAGGAGTCAGAGTTTAAGTCCAGTAGTTTTGCATAGGGGATTGGTGATGTTATGCATTAAATTGTAAATGAAGTGACCCCGTTCAGATTAAATTTATCTGAAATGGCTCTCTGAAATCACTTCTTAACACTGTTTCAATTTCACACACGGTTTATTGGTGAGAGCACAACGGTGATTCTCTGTACTCTTGACTACCCAGATAATTCTCTCTTGATGAGGCATCTGTCATTGAGACATAGCACTGAGAGATGTAGTATCAGTCTAACTTCCAAAGCAAATGTTAAATGTATAGGGCTATGCTGTCCCGTCATTTGTTCTAGGTATAGGAAGGGTCACAGCTACTCTGTAGTCCCAGTCTTTCTTCCTCTAAACACAGTTTCACATCTGAAATAAGATTTTATTTTAAACTTCCACAAAGCAATAATTGTTTCCTTCTTTTTAATGTATAGGGTGGTTGCATTTGTCCTGATGGAAGCAGTGGTAATAGACAGGTAATTCCTTTTCTGAGTTTATACTTTCATCTACATAATGGAGTATTTTGAATTAATCACCTAGTAAGTATGGACACTTGGGTGACACTAAACATTATTGATAACTTCCTTAGTATGGATAGAATTATATAGAATGAAATGGAAGAATGAGTCCCACTTTAACTGCATAATTACCATTTGGCCACTAACTTTCTGTAACTCTGCTTGGTAATCCAGACGCTCTGTCAGTTGACTGTTATGTGCTAATTATTCACTACTTTCAAACACCAGAGTCAATATGACCTGTAGTAACCCCAGAATTTAATTGCATCCAGCTTAGGTTCCTTTGTCCTTCTGACTGGTGCAATAAAATATTGTGACTAAAATGTCAAAATCTGATAAATATTTCAAAATATCATCTCTTAAATCAGTATTTAAACTATTCTTTCCCATAAAGAGAGTCACTGCAATTTCATGATCAGTGGCACTGGATAAGCTTTCCTCTTAGGCAATGCCTCCATGCCAGGAAACAGCCCAAGGAATGTGGTTACATGGGCGTTATAGACTAGCTTTCCCAGGCTTCTGGCAAAGCCAGGTGAACTTGGATTTTAAACTCACCTATCTTCTACCTCAAAACTTATTTTCAAAGCTTTTACTGAAGCTGTATTTACATAAACCCATTTGAATGGTGTAATATATTTGAATTTTCAATTTCAACAACAATCATATTTTGGATTATTATTTCTATAAAAAAGCATGCTATTTGAACAAACTAATTGTATAAAGAAATTACTGCTTTCTGAACTTAACTGTCATTAACATATAGCAACAGTCATTTTGGTCAGGTAAAATACCGCCTTTCTCATATAATTGAGGCTGAGCAGTAATCATGACCTACATGTTTTAAAACTTAGACTAGTCTATTAAAATAACTAATATTGAAACTTCATCAAATTAAAACTTTTTTATTTGCCGTGTGATTGTAATGCTATATAAGCAAATCCATTTACAAGGAAAAAGGTGGACATCTTTATGCAAGTTTTCATTCTAATAGGGCCTTTTTTCTTTGCATGCTTAAGTTAGTGCAAAAAGAGGTTTAGTTTTTAATGGCAAGCCACCACAGCTTGGCCAGGGAGAGGAGTGTGTATTTAGTTGCTATCAAACAATAATTTTCAACATGAAGAAAATAAGACATCTAAATTGGACACATTAGAAAACCAGTTCTCAGTGCAGATGTGTCCACTTTGATACACAAGAGACTTGTATTTCAGTTTGTGATAGTATCCGCTGATAGAATTAATTTATGATAAACTAGGTAGCAATAGTCTTGATCTTTGCCTTCACCCAACAGTAAAGTTCAGTGATCTTTGCAAAGGAATAGGCTGAATTAAAAAATGGACTTACTTTCATTTTCTGTCCAGGGTCAATCCTCTACATATGGCAGTAGCAGTGCCTAAGATTAGCATGTAAACACATTGGCCATGATAGGCAGGTTCATTCTTCTGAGTAAAAAAAGCAAGGTATAGGTAGATATATGTGTATAAATAAACCAGCATTCATAAATCTTACATAAAAGAGACATTCATCTACTTCCTTGAAGATTCTTCAGCCCAGTAGGAAAATTCCTTTACAAAGCCTTCTTCTAAACTTAAAAGCTATGAGTTACATGAAGGTCTCTTCAAACCTGGCAAAGATTATAAATTAAGAATCAAACCTATACATATTTAAACTATCTTGTTTCAAAGGAAACAATGGGTTTCCTTATGTGGATCCCCAAATTCCTCACACTGCAATTATTACACTTTTTCTCTAAGCTTCATCTAAAGACAAGAGCTCAGTCTACAAATAGTGTCTGAGGAAGCAGTCTAACCATAGAAGAATACTTTGTATATAAAGGGGATGTGACAGTAATAATAGATCTTATGTACTGGTAAATAGTCTCCTTTAAGTGCTGAAAAATCCTCTCCTAAACACCTTATTTGCTCTCTGGAAGT